ACACACACACACACACACACACACACACACACACACACACACAACCCCCCCCCCCCCACACACACACGAGGGCGCGGGTCATCTTGGTGTCGTGGGCGGAGTAAAGAGGTTAATAGCGACACGTGTGGGCGCAGCGTGGGCGTAGACGAAGGATAATGGGAGTGAAATGGGCGTACCTGGTGCCGTCGGGAAGGAGAGGGCGGGGGATGCTGACGGGCTGTGGGCGGGGTGGTGTACATGGCGGTGTGTGTGCGTACGTGTGTGTGTGTACGTGTGTGTGTTTTATTGGTATGTTGTATTGGTGTGTATGTGTGTGTGTGTTGTATTAGTGCGTGTGTGTGTGTGTGTGTTGTACTGGTGTATATGTGTGTGTGTGTGTTGTACTGGTGTGTGTATGTGCATGTGTGTATTTCTATGTATTTGTGTGTGTGTGTGTGTTTCTGTGTAATTGTGTGTGTCTGTGAACGCGTGTGTGTACCTGTGTGGATTTGTGTACGTGTGTGTGTGTGTGTGTATGTGTGTGTGTGTGTGTGTGTGTGTGTGTGTGTGCAAATAATCCATCGGGCGGTGTCCTTCTTAGCCACTGTTCGAAGTTTTTTTTTTTTTTTCGTCTTCATTCGCACTTAAACCCTTTCTACATCACCTCTCCCCCTCCCCCCCCTCTTCCCCTCTATCAGTCAAGGAGATTAGTAAAGGGGAAGGAGGGGGGGGGAGAGTTCTCTCCTCCCTCTTTTCTCTTCCCCTTCTATCTCCCAATTCGTACTTCCCTGTTCTCTTTCCACCCCCTTTCTGCTCTCTCCCTTTCCTTTTTCCTTTTCCCTGATCCTCCACCCTCCTCTTCTCTCTCCCTCTTCCCTTTCTCCTTTCCCTCTTTACCTCCATCTCCTTCTCCCTCTCTTTACCCATCCTCCTCCTCTCTTTTATCCGTCCACCTTTCTGTTCTCCCCCTATCTGTAAATCTCTCCCTCTCCTCTACACCTCTCCCCTCTCCTTCTCTCCCTTTCTTTCTCTTCCCTTCTCTCTCTCCCTTCTCCTATTCTCCCTTCCCCCTTCTCCTTCTCTTACCCTCCTTCCCCTCTCCTTCTCTCTTCTTTTCTTCCCCTCTCCTCCTCTCTTTCCTCTCTCCTTCTCTTCCCCATCCTTCCCCTCTCCTCCTCTCTTTCCTCTCTTCTTCTCTCTCCCTCTCCTTTCCCCTTCCTCCCTTCTCCCTCCCCCCTCTCCTCCCTTCTCCCCCCCCTCTCCTCCCTTCTCCCTCCTCCCTCTCCTCCCTTCTCCCTCCTCCCTCTCCTCCCTTCTCCCTCCTCCCTCCCCCTCTCCTCCCTTCTCCCTCCTCCCTCTCCTCCCTTCTCCCTCCCCCCTCTCCTCCCTTCTCCCTCCCTCTCCTCCCTTCTCCTCCCTTCTCCCCCCCCCTCCTCCCTCTTATAGTCCAGTCTAGCTGTTAATCTCGGACGAAAATCCTGCATCGCTAAAATGCACCTTAATGTATCAGAGACATGTTTTTATCGGTCACAATCACTCAACAGGTGACACTCATTATGAGGTCACCTGGATGCGGTCGTCTTGTGTGTACGTGCATGCGGACAAACACGCTGGCATATAAGCTGGCATATAAGTAGACATTCGAAGAGGTGCGAAGATAGATAGATGTATGGAGGGAGATAGGGAGGTAGATAGGTAGGAAGGTAGGGAGGTAGGGAGGTAGGTAGGTAGGAAGGTAGGGAGGTAGGTTGGTAGGTAAGTAGGTAAGTAGGTAGGTAGGTAAGTAGGTAGGTGGTTAGGTAAGTAGACAGGTAGATGGATAGATATAAAGATAGGTAGGTAGGTGGGTAGGTAAGTAGACAGGTAGATAGATAGATATAAAGATAGGTAAGTAGGTGGGTAGGTAAGTAGACAGGTAGATAGATAGATATTAAGATCGGTAGGTAATCATATGGAGAGATAGACAGATGAATAGTAAACTCTTTATGATTGAAAAACAAAACAAAAACAAAATAAAAAAAATTGATTGACAAAAGAAAATAAAAAAAAAATCCCTAACGTGTGTAAATGGAGCCATAGACAAACCGCTTTAAGATTCGAAAGAAGATAGAATAATCAAGAAAATTAATAGAGGGATAATGATAGGATAAAATGAAAGAAATTAGATAAAGAAATGAGGAAAAGATGAGAAGAAAATAAAATGATATTAGACAAGACAGAAAATAAAACATAAAATTGAAGAAAAATGAAAAAAAAATCTGAATTCTAAATGAAGCTATAAACAAACCCCTTAAAAATAAAACCAAATAAAAAATAAAACAAACATACCAAGCAGACAAAAAGAGAGAGAGAGAGAGAGAGAGAGAGAGAGAGAGAGAGAGAGAGAGAGAGAGAGAGAGAGAGAGAGAGAGAGAGAGAGAGAGAGAGAGAGAGAGAGAGAGAGAGAGAGAGAGAGAGAGAGAGAGAGAGAGGGAGAGAGAGAAGAGAGAGAGAGAGAGAGGAGAGAGAGAGAGAGAGAGAGAGAGAGAGAGAGAGAGAGAGAGAGAGAGAGAGAGAGAGAGAGAGAGAGAGAGAGAGAGAGAGAGAGAGAGAGAGAGAGAGAGAGAGAGAGAGAGAGAGAGAGAGAGAGAGAGAGAGAGAGAGAGAGGAGAGAGAGAGAGAGAGAGAGAGAGAGAGAGAGGAGAGAGAGAGAGAGAGAGGAGAGAGAGAGAGAGAGAGAGAGAGAGAGAGAGAGAGAGAGAGAGAGAGAGAGAGAGAGAAAGAGAGAGAGAAACAGAAACAGAAACAGAAACAGAAACAGAAACAGAACCAGAAACAGAAACAGAAACAGAAACAGAGACAGACAGACAGACAGGAAAAAAAAATCACGAAGAAGATTTCATAACTCCGCAACGTGTTCCAGTGATGCCATCTTGGAGGTCGAGGTATTTTCACGCCTCGATAAGCACCCATGTGGTAACAGTAAATCGTAAAGCGATTGATTTGAGATCATTAGCATAAGATTCCCGGATGTCTGCTTTTATCACTTGGCTGGGGGTGTGGTGGGAGGTGGAGACGGGGGGGGAGATGGAGACGGGGGGGGGGAGGTGGTGGGGAGATGGACTGAGAGACGGACAGGGAGAAAGAGGGGCAGATATATATATATATATATATATATATATATATATATATATATATATATATATAGAGAGAGAGAGAGAGAGAGAGAGAGAGAGAGAGAGAGAGAGAGAGAGAGAGAGAGAGCGAGAGAGAGAAAGAGAGAAAGAGTGAGAGAGAGAGAGAGAGAGAGAGAGAGAGAGAGAGAGAGAGAAAGAGAGAGAGAGAGAGAGAGAGAGAGTAAGAGTGAGAGCGAGAGCGAGAGCGAGAGAGAGAGAGGGAGAGAGAGTGAGAGTCTACTGTCTACCCCTCCTTATCCCCCCCTCCTCTCCTTTTGCTCCTTTCCAGAAATCATCAATATAATTCATATGATTATTATTATTATCATTACTATTATCATCATTTCAGATATTATCATATCTATCTTCCTTTTCATCATTATTTTATTTTAATCTTCATTTTTTTTTTTCAATCACTCTCATCCTTTCTTTTACTCTCATTTATCCACTCATTCCTTTATTTTCATCATTTTATCAATTTTATATATATCATTATTATTTTTTTTTTCTAAAATCACTCCTATCCTTTCTTTTACTTACTTTCTTTTACATTTTATTCACTCATTCCTTTATTCTCATCATTTTATCAATTCTATATTTATCACTCTCGTCTCCAAACGTCTTCTGCGGAGCCGTGGCCTTTCCCCTCGAGTGCAGTCCAAGGGCGTCGCCCGAGATGCTGCGGCCCTTGCTGTGACGCCCTTCTGCTGGCTCCTCCTCCTCCTCCTCCTCTTTCTCCTTTTCTTTCTCTTTCTCTTTCTCCTTCTCCTACTTTTTTCTTTTCTTTCTCTTTTTCTTTCTTTTTCTCCTTCTCCTACTTTTTTCTTCTCTTTCTCCTCCTCCTTCTCCTCCTCCTCCTCCTCCCCTTCCTTCTACTACTCCTCCTCCTCCTCCTCTTCCCCTTCCTCTTCCTCTTCTTCTTCTCCGTCTCCTCCTTATCCTTCTTTTCTTGTTTTCTTTCCTGTTCTTGTCCTTGTTCTTTTGCTTCGTCTTTTTCTTCTTTTCATTTTTTTTTTTTTTTTTTTTTTAACGGGATTTCTCTTTCTTTTTTTTTTCTTTCTCTGTTTGTCTGTCTCTGTCTTTGTCTGTTTGTCTGTCTGTCTGTCTCTTTCTGTTTCTGTTCTTATTCTCCTCGCTAAAACTTCACTACTCATCACTCACCATCATCACCATCCCCATCATCCCCATCCCCATCACCATCATCACCACCATCCCCATCATCCCCATCACCATAATCACCAACATCACTATTACCATCACCATCCCCATCCCCATCATCACCATCACCAACATCACCACCATCACCATCATCACCATGCCCATCCTCCCCATCACCATCATCCTCCCCATCATCTCCATCCCCATCATCCCCATCACCATCATCCCCATCCCCATCTTCCCCAACATCACCATCCCCATCCCCATCATCACCATCACCACCATCACCACCATCCCCATCATCCCCATCACCATCATCCCCATCACCATCATCCCCATCCCCATCTTCCCCAACATCACCATCACCATCACCATCATCACCATCACCAAGCAGCACGACAACCATAATTACCATACATTATACATTAATGAAACTCACACCCACTATCTTAATTAACATGACAATATGAATGAAGAAAAAAAAAATTAGATTGTTTCTTAATTATAATTATCAGCCTCATCATCTTTATCACCTTCATCTATCTTGTATTTGATAATGTGTTTTTATTAACACATTATTTTTTATTTATTTATTTATTTTTTTATTTTTGATAATGTGTTTTTATTAACACATTATTTTTTATTTATTTTTATTTTTTATTTTTTATTTTTAGACGTTTTTTTGTGTATTCTTCTTTAACATCATTT